ATCAAATAAAACACGTAAGAGCAGAGACACGCCCACTCACATGTAAACAAAAGTTTTCGCCCACTGAAAAATGGCCACCTACAAACTAAAATGTTTCCGTGTCACGTGACCTCGTACGGACTCTAGCAGAGAGTATTTAATTATAGACTCTAGTATAGAAGGAGATAACTCTATGGGGTGGGGCCTTTAAATTTTTTCTTGCAATTAATGAATGGCTTGCGATCGTGAATGCAGCGCTCTATTGTCCTTACTCTGTTGTCAGAGCTATACAATCCCTTTTTATGTGTGCTTTAACGTAACGTTTGCAACTCTTTGGATCTAGGTAATAAGATAAGAAATTAAGGAATATTCCCCAAATGTAATGAGATTGTGTTGATATACTTTCTTCTTTTTCACCCTGTCTCCATTCCCACACAAATGACGACCTCTCTCTGGCTAGAGATATGGGGTTACTTTATTCGGTAGCAACTTTCGTCAGCATGCCAGAGACCTAGGCCCTACATTTCGAAATTGTATTATCTGGTGAGGAAAAACTGAAGGCTCGAGGTAGATGGTTGCCTACTTCGTGACTCCCTTTGACAGGTAGATTGGTTTGTGAAATTGTTGAAACTAGAAGTATGAGTCCTTAATGATATATTTTTGCAAGTCAAATTTCAAAATCATTTTAATTGGGAACCGCTTATTTCAACACACACAAAAATACTCTATTCCCATGGATTTTTCCTGGTGGAAAACCAAAGAATCAATTTACTTTATCAGGACTTTTGTACAGGAGAGATATAGATCAAGCATACAAGTTGTCAAAGCCTACCTGGTCTGAAATGTGGTCAGCTTCACGCTCGTAAACAATGCGATTACAATAAAATCTACTTGCATTAAAAATATTTGTACCAGAGAAATACACCTTCGCTGGAGAGGACAAATGCCCCCTCCCCCCTCCCCCCCAAAAAACACTAAGAACACAATAAAAATGTGTTCATCAGATGGAGAGAGTACTGTAAAGAAAAGTAGAGTTATAAAACAAACCCCGAACTGAAGAGAATGGGGGGGGGGGGGGGGTGCTCTCGTATATTCAATGCTAAAAGGGACTGTTCTCATTCAAAGTTCCCGGGTTCGAATCCAGGTAGCGACCAAAAAATTTTCTTCTCTAAAATTGTCTTCTTTCACCTCCTCTAGCAATGTTCTGTCGTCCGCTTTCGTCTCCTCTTTCTGCCCCCACACCCTCACCTCCTTTGCCCCCTCCTCTGGGCTCCTGGCTCTTTCTGCAGCCTTTCTACTGCTACTCTTTGACTCCTTCTTACTGCAGTCTTTCTGCCCCACCCCTGATCTTCTGGTAGGAAAGATCTACACTCTACTTCGGCCGCCACCCGGGCAAACTTCAAAATTTCCTACCAACTAAAAGTATTAGATGTGTCCCGCGCGCTCATATGACCTTATGTAGTTGCGAGCGCCGGAAAACACTTACCAAAAAAACCCCCCAAAAAACCCATTTACAAATAAATTGTTTTGTTTTTTTAAAAGAAGAGATTTCTCCAATAACAAGGATACAAATGTTAGTCAAACACCAATGAAAACATTCCAGTATGGTGAATAACTATGATGTTAGGGATATAGTAATTATGAAATCCAAGCAAACATCCGCCATATTGAATGACAACTACGATTTTCAATTAGTGCTCTCTCCTCTCTTGGCTTTCATCCATTGGTTTTCATATTTAGCAA